AAACATTGTCGACTATACACTGGCTGCATTATATATAACAATATAAGCTGACAATTTTTTATATACATATTTGTTCTTTCACTTATTTCAGTCGAATCAATCAACTAATTACTCGGGCTCTCAATATCAAACTCGAATCCCAGCAATCAACTAAACAAAACGGGACGAAAAGAGGAATAAACGAAATCCTTAGCAATGCCTTTGTTCTTTGAATCTTCAATGCGCAATAATACGTTTCAAGTACCTTCTACAAAAGTTTATTCGAACGACAAAACTATAGATCCCCTTATAACTTACATCTAATTTAGGCGGTGTTTTTTCAAGTTGCTTAGTCCGGATAGACGTTCATCAGGCGTTTGGGCAAGAACCACGTGACATTTGCTACGCTGAAGCTCGTTTGGTATTTCGCGCTTACTACATAAATAACATACAAATGATTTCTTATCCAACGTAGTCTGCCGTTCGTAGTATGACTCTCCAGTCAACACTTGAAATGCTTTACCGATAGTCTTTTACGAAAGATCAAAAAAATAATCAAGATATCGGATAAAGTAAACATTTTTAGCACAGTTATAAACAGAAAGTTCGGTCAGAGCAGCGTAGAGCAGCATCATTATTTACCGAAGATACCTTCCTTTGCTTTTTGCATGGACTGGCGAAAACATACGCTCGAGCTTCCACTTTACTTTCACGAATATACTTCTGTCACGAGTACAATCTCAACGCATTTATGTACAATGCATCAAATGTACAATTTTTTGAGGATTCTTCGTTCATTGTTGTTGCAGGTGTTTGAGAAGCTCTGCAACAGCTGCTTCGCGTAGTGTCTTCGTTGTTCGTTGTTTTTTAATCCCAACACGCTTCGACCCTTCGATGCACGGCGCCTGCTTGCTTTCCATCTCAATGGGTTCGCGTAAATATCTTGCCCAGGTCGAGTCGCAAAAGTAGCCCGCCGTAGTTCGCGTGCTTCTTTATTTGCACCGACGGTGCGCGCTGTGCTGTGTTCTGTGTGGCTTGTGCGAAGCAGGAATGCTTGCGCTTCCGACTGAAGCACATGTCTGCAGGAAAGGTGCGGCAATTTCTCTTCGATATATCGGCTAATTATCAGAGGGCTCGCGAGCACTCTGCTGATGTTCGAGTAAATAAGAAAAGAAAAGGACCTTCCAAGGTCCGCGCGCGTCTCGCAGCATTTCGACAATTGCACTTGCAATCGATCCAAATACATTTCCCAACGACCATTTCCAATGGTACAGTGCCTCCCAATGATTGGGATGGATCCCAATAAAGCGGTGCATATATCCACTGTAAACCCAATGCGCACGCGAAATCGATGAGCAACCGTAAAAGATAATCGAACCGCATCGCACGTGCAGAAACGAATAATAATCCAGAGCAGCGGGCAAAAAAGGAGGCAAAAGTGCCTTCAAAACGAGAAAAAGAATGTAAAAGCAGCGTCGTACAAGCGGAATTACGAAGCGAACTCGCCGGCAACAACGAAAAGAGGAGGAACAGCAGCTCTCGAAAAATAAATCAGGCATGAAAGGCCGAGAAGAGGTACGGCGCGACCACGTGACCGGCAGGTGGGCAGCATCTTTCTCTTTCCTTTATGCGCACCTGCCATCCAGAAAGGGGAGAGAGAGAGAGAGAGAGAGAGAGAGAGAGAGAGAGAGAGAGAGAGAGAGAGAGAGAACGCTCGCCGAAATCTCGACGTGCTCTCGCTCTCTATCTCGGCTTGTAATGCTGCGCATACGCCGTTATTAAAAATGCATTTTTCCATTTTGTTCCTCTTTCTCTGCGATTCCATTAAAGTGCGCGCGATCATTATTATCTGTCGCTCGCCGGAGATTGAAGCATGATAAACGGATTCGTCAGGAAAATGTTGATCCGACCGAAAGTTAAACGACGTGAAAATACAGGTACGAACGAGCAAATCAAACTACACGGCAGCTCATGAATAATCAATCGAACCTGTATACCACTTTGGCATTTATAGTCGATAACCGAGTCTAGTCGATAATGGCTTTCAACGATAAATTAATGATCAAAGATGAGCAAGAAAAATGCGACTCAGTAACCATTTGACAGCTGCGCTCAAATCCTGCCGACAGCACGGCGCCCAGTCTCTTGTTTCGCGAATCGATTGACTTCTAAACTGTCACATTTAGGCTGCGCATAACCATAAGCGTCCAGTATTGGAAAGATCGCCGGGCAGTCTGGCAAACAGGGAAATCATGGTGCAACACGCGAGACGAGAAGCAGCGGTCCACATCTCCGCGAGTCACCGGCGAGGATAAGTCACGTGATACCAATCTGTTTTCCATCGCGTCTCGCGCAGACGCGACGTGGCGTCCTTGAGAGGGAGCGGGCCCTAACGAGTCTCCGACTGACCCCCGGCGAGTGCTCCGCGAGCGGCGCATCTGCAAGATAAAAAGCATACGAGCGCGTGCCATCTGCCGACTTTCGGGTCTCCGGTTTCTTCTTTCTCTCCTTTCTCCTCCGGGCAGCGGTATCGACTGGCCGCCACGTCGGGCTTTATGTTGCTTTTAACGACGTGCTGATTTTTCAGGATTTCGCGAAGCATAGTCATTTTTTTTCTTCGCTGGCTTGTGTCCGTGAGGATTATTAGGCTTTTGAGCCGACTTACGATTGACGGGCTCGTACGTGTCCTTCCAACAATTCGTTCGTTCGGTCGAAGTCCACTGGAATATTTTTTAGTTGTTGCGTTGATCTACGGGCTTATGGCTTATGCGCATTTCCATGTTCAACCACAATCAATTTCAACTGATCAAGGTACTTTTAGCTCGGATAATAAAGGAAATGCTTTTTCAGCGTACATACTTCGTCGTTTAAATCAGATCACGCAAACATTCGACTCTGAAAAATACCCGAGAAATGAAGGAAAATTTGTAACGTACACCGAATAATTATTATTAAAGCTTCTCGAATGTGCAGCACATTAGAGGACGCACAAAACGATCAAATTACTAATCGCGTATAATCGTGTATAACATCGAGGCATAACCGGCAATCATTCAATTTCGAATAATTTTTCATTATGTCAGTTTCATACGTGTCTTCCTCGTGATCTCGCACTCTTTGCATCTCGCTTTTTCGTTGCGCATTTATAATCGCGCCGCGTCGCTCGCTCGTAAAAAGTAGGATGCGTAAATATTGAGCGCGTATTCGACAGCTGCGAGCGACGAAAAAACAAAGAAACTAGACGAGAAGTCCCGAGCCGAAGGTATTGAGTTTCTTTGTCGTCTAGGCAGGTGTGCGCGTGCGGATACGTGTATCTTTCGACGAGAGTGTCGCCTCGCGAGAAAGTGAGAGAGAGAGAGAGAGAGAGAGAGAGCGGGAGGGAAAGAGCGGCCCGTAATTATCAGCTGTCAGACGCACCGCGCCACCGATTCGCTCTTGCAGTCCTGCAAAAAAGCGCAGCTGCTGCTCCGATTAAATCACCGCGCACGGTTGTTCCGAGTCGTGTACCGCTCGACGATTTTAATTGCTTATTTCGCTCGCCCGACCCTCGCGCCGCGTTTCTTACGTTTCGCCGTGGGCGCGGATTTTTCGATGCACCCGCATTTCGCGCGCGAAGAAGCTGCAGCGGGATTTTGCGGGAAGATAAAGCGACGGGGAGCGCGGATATATCGATAATATAAAATTCTCGATGGCGTGCAATCTTCCGCCATGTGAAAAAAGAAATCGCTCAAGTTCGGATCGAAGTTCGATAATTACAACGCCCGTGGATATGGTTTACGAATAAAATCCTACATTTTTTTTCTTTTGTGTTATATTCACTGATGGAAAAAAATACTGGTTATTTTCATCGACTATATCGTTAACGAGAATAAAAAGCTCCCTGAACTTTTCCATCAAAACAATAGCTTCATCGAGCTTCGAAAGGAGAACGTCGAGAAATATCTCGTTATAGCCCTATCGGCCATACCCTTGACGCCAGCACATCGTTCGTTCTCGTCATATGGCCATTTCTGCAGCTTTTTGCACTCCAACTCTCTTTCTGGCCGTCTCAGCTCGCTACGCTACGCGGCACAAGTACCTGCACATACACATACGCGCGCGCGCGAGCGCCCGTGTCGAGCACTCGTCTCAGCTGCGGATTCGTTCCGGCAGCGTTCAAAGTTGAAATTCGAGCTGCGCCAGTGGCATTCCGCGCGGGGCGCCTCCATATTTTCGCTGCCGGCTCGTGCACGGCCCCTCGATATACGACATTGTCCATATCGCAAGTCGCTCGCGTTGCCTCAGCGCGAAAAACGCTTTGCGCGCGACAGTGCCGAGTCTCCGGCTGAAACGTCGGCCGTAACAACGCAGGCCACCGTTGTGCGCGTTAATTGCGGCTTTGTTCGACCGCGCGCACTCCAAGTTTTTCGTGCGTCGTTCGACGACGCTCGATTACGCTCGACTGTTGGGGGACGCAGCGCTCAATTGATTTTTATGCGACGATTGAGCGCGTAAACGAGCCGTTTTCTCATTAAAAACAAAACAAAAGGAAACAAAGTCTTTCGTGCTGCTCTCGACGCCACTCGAGGCGTTTTCTACGGGTTTAGAGCCCGGAAAACAGCTTGTTCACATTTTTTTTTATTCCTCTTCATCACAGGTATATTTCAACTCTGGATGGATACTCGAGTTATCTGTTTCTTGAATTTGCACAGTAGTTGTTCGAGCACCCAATTACTTCAACAGCCACCTGTGAAAGACGAACGTTTTATGCGCAGGATCGCGGGTATAGATCTCGTTTTTCTCGAAAGAAGCATTCAACGAGGCAGCGCTTGTGCGACAAACGAAAGTAATTTAAGCAAGTGATGTGTTTGAATGTCATGAAAATGGAAAAACAAAGATGACGAGTAATTAGCATGTAAACGAGCGTAAGGGGACGCAAATGAAACAAAACGGTCTTCCTGTTTGTAAAAATTTTATTTTTATCAAAGTCAATCTATAGCTGCTATTGTCGTGAAAAAAATATAATTTATTTGATTCAACTGCTGGCACAAGTTGTGCACAAAATTGTAAAAAATGTCCGTTCAACTGACAGCTGCACTCGAGGAATGTCGTTCTTGGGCGTAGAAAGGCAACTTTTGCAATGATTTTATCGCTTCTACTGCTGCCTGCAAAGGAAATTTAGAAGAAAAAAAGCTGTAATCAGTCGAGGGCACAAAGGTAAGAAAGTAAGAAAGTTTGGCATTGAAAAAAAGAGACTGACGTCATGAACCGACTTATCGGCATCGCCAGTCAACCCTTCCAGCAATTCTCTCAGCGACCTGCCCCAAATTTGTTGCAAAGTTTTGCTACAGTTGAGCGCCAACTGCAAGAGCAAAGTGCAACTACGCGATCGTACAATACTCTGTTGGTGCGTCATGAAGTCCGCGAACAACGCGATTGTCGCATCTGTCGGCTTGTTTTTAAAGACAATATCCTCCGCTGCGTCAACGAATCCAGATTTGGAGCGTAAAATCTGATTGAGTATAGCGATGAGGCTGGCGACGATTTTCGATTTCCGCTTGTCCAGGCCTAAAATATACTGGAATAGCAGTGTCCCATCGGGCACGAGATAAAGCGCGTCGTAAAATTGCTCGAGAAATTCGTGTTTCAAGTGCACGAGTCTACTCAGCAGTGTCATCGCGCGCTCCAGTGCCTGCGGAACAGTCGAATGCACTCGTCAGGGATTGTGAACCTCGCCGTGCATCGCGTCATTCTCGTCGACGTACCTGCAATTCATCAGCCAGCAGCGCGCTATGGGACTTCCAATTGCCCTCGCTGTCCCTGATAAGCAGCTTGGCCGCGTAAACAAGATTCGGCACGACCTTGGCGTCCAAGTAAACCCTCTGAATCTTCTCGAGTTTGTCGCTCTGCAACGACTTGACGGCGTATGGCAGCGACAGCAGGCAAGCGACGAAGTCGACGACTCGACAGTTTGCCGCCGGATTTTTGAGCGGGCCGACGAACACGGACACGCAATTATCTTGTAGCAGAGAGTCCACCTCGCCGACCATCACTTCTTCCATGGATTGTTGCAGAAATACCAGCCACTCTTCGTTTTCGATCGGCTGCTCGTTGTCCGTCGGCGACCAGTCGGCAAGCCGCCCTCCGCCCTCGCATGGCTTCTTCTCAGATTCGAGGCCAGCGCTGTCTTTTCTCCGAGGCTGATCTGTGGCCTTTGGCGCAGTTGCCGACGTTGCATTTCTCGACGAATTGCCAGTCGCCGCATCCTGAACAAGACCAATCTTTCGTTAAGAGATGACGAGGTCGAAAGCAGCTACTTACCTGCGCCACATCCTCAGCCTCTTCGACGCCGACCGCGCAATCTCTCTTGGCAGTGTCGTTGTGAGCGACCGCTGCCGCGGCAGCTTCCTCCTCGGCGATCGGGCAGTCGACGCGACAAGTGGCGAAATCCGCGGCGACCATGTCACTTCTCAGCGAAGCTCTCAGGCTCAAATTGTTCAGCAGCACGTCGACGCTCGCGCTTCCCGACTCCGACTCGGTCGTGTGACCGCTTCGACGCATCATCTGACTCTGAAGCTTTTTGATTTGGCGTTCCAAGATCTTTCTGTAAGCGAGGCGCGATGGTCAAAGCTTTGCCACGAAAACGACCAATCCGTACTAACTTGGAGGTGTAGGTGAAGCGGGACGCGAGGCTTTGAAGTTGCTGCTGCTTGGCCCGTGCCTGGCTCGCCGAAAGTGGCGAAGTGAGCGCACGAGGAATGTTCTCCTCGTCGACCATCAGAAGGCGATCCTTGACGAACGGATGAACTTTCAGCTCGGGCCAAGCGAGTCGTTTCGTGGGGTCTTTCTGTAGCAAACCCTGCGAAAACAGCGAAACGACTTTTCATTGGAAAGTCGTGATTCCTCATTGCCGGTACTTACTTGAAGGAAGCTACGACAGTTGTCGGATATGTGCTCCGGCCATTTGATGTCCGCCTGACGAACCATGCTGACCAAATATCGCATCGAGGTCGTTTGAAACGGCGGCACTCCGCTCACCAATTCATAGACTATACAGCCGAGTGACCTGCCGAGAAAGACAAACGTTTCAGATCTTTTACGCGCTGAACGAATCGATCCGAAAGGAGAAGCTTACCATAGATCAACTTTGTGATCGTAAGGCAACTCGTCGATGAGTTCTGGCGCCATGTACAAGGGAGTTCCCTTGACGGACCTTAGCACGTGTATTTCTTGGCTCATGAGCCTGGCGAAGCCAAAGTCGCAGAGCTTGGCGACACCGCTCGTGTCCACCAGCACGTTCTGCGGCTTCAAGTCTCTGTGCAAGATGCGCCGCGTGTGAAGATAATGCAGCGCGGACACCAAGTCGCAAGCTATCACTTGCGAGCGCTCTTCGGACAAACGGCCGGCTTTGACCACGATGTCGTACAGCTCCTTCTCCACGTACTCGGTTATCACGATGAACTGGGAGAGCAGAGACATTGAACGTCAATTTTTTCCTGCGATTTATCGCTTTTTTTCGTTGCTTCGCACGATGTATCGTGCGATCGGATAAACGACTTATACGTCAAAACAGCTAGTCCGAAAAAGACCTGCTGCTGGCGAATTTCAAAGACTCGAGAACAATTCACAAAAAGTACTATCTTTCGTAAACATATCAGTAAAAGGGATTGTAACGAAACCTCTAAGACAATAATCTCATGGAGGCAGTAATCTGATCACAGGTACGCCACCGTTCAATGCGATTACTAACCTTGGAATCCGTCTCGAAAGAATCGAACATTCGAATAATGTTAGGATGGTTGAGCTCCTTCTGCACCTCGCATTCGCGTCGCAGGCTCACCAACTCTTTGTCCGTTCGTCCTTTCTACGGTGAGAAAGAATAGAAAGCGATTGAAATCACATTCCCGAAACAAGTGATTCTTGCTTCTTTCCACAAATTGGTATTCAATCGTTATTCTCAACTATTTATTTTTTTGTCATTGAAAGATGCTTTTTTTTTTAGTTTCTACTGCGTGTGATCCACACGTCATAATGGTTTTTTATGTAAAAAGCGACGGACGATTCATTGCCGCGAAAACCGCTCTCTGTAACACGTATCATTCAACAGAATTGTTTGTAATTTTAGAATAAGCAAATAGTGTATTGCGCTTATTTGAAAACAAGTTAGCTCCCGACCACTGATTCGGAAAGTAGCAGCGCTCGATGCAGAGCCAAGAAAAGGCACAGCGCAAGTTTGCTCACCTTGCGCGTAACTTTGAACGCAACGATAGCGTTATCGCCGCGTCTCCTGGCCTTGAATACTTGTCCAAAGGAGCCTTCGCCGACTTGCTTCAGCATCTCGTAGTTCTCCATTTCCGGTGCGCAAAATGGAGCCGCTTCGGTTCTACACTGAGCATAACGCTACGCACTTTCGCCTCTCCTTCTTGCCCTCTCTCTTTTTCTCTTTCGAGACGTCTTCCCCACTCTCGGGTCTTACACCGGCCTTCGTCCCATTGGCAGCTATTATAGTGGCTGGCGCTTTCGAGTTTGCCTGAGAGAAAGAGAGAGTGAATCGTCCCAAGAGGTTCACGTTTGGCTTATTCATTGCGCTGATTTGACAAAGCCATCGTTAATAATAATAACTAACGAATCAGTCATTGTCTCGCGAGGATTTCATTATTATTTAAAACAATTCGCAACGCACGAGAACAATAATACAGTCAACGTTATCTTATAAATTATTCATAGATTGTATTCCTTAGTTGAATTTCTTTCGATTACAACGCTATCGTTTTCATTCGCCACGCAGCAGTATAGAAATAAAGTTGCCTTTTCTTTTCAAAAATCCGGACTATAGTAATTGAATCGAAATGACAGTAATCGGAATTCTGTGGATGATAAAGCTATCTCGCGCATTTTCCCATAAGTGTGGAAGTAAAATCGGCAGAATCTCATCAGAAGTGTTGCACGTCAGGTAAAGTCGCTTTAAAAAAACGCGTATTTCGCTGCAACAATAATGTAGCATACGAAAGGATTAAAGTAGCTGACAGAGCTGAAATGCATTATTAATTTCATTCTATCGCGAGGAGTATTAAATTTACGAGAAAATTGTAACGTGAGAAGGAAGCCTCAAGTTGAAACAACTTTTAACTTATTTCAACGCGTCAATATAACAAGCCTAATCGAAACAGCGATAAGCCATAAAATAACTCATTACCGTGCAAAATTGCGCTTTTAAAATCCCATCGCTCAAAGGGGCGAAGCCATTAAAGAAGTTATATTTCACCTCGCGTACTGTGGATCGTTTTGAACGTCGCACGACGACGAAAGAGAGAGACAGAAACAGAGAGAGAGAGAGAGAGCGCAAAAAATAAAGCGAAGTAGCATGGAGAAAAGAAGGATTGGGGAGCTGCCGCCTCGACGGAATTTACAACGTCGCCACTGCCTCGCCTATGCGTTCTTTCCACCCTCCTCGGCCGACAGAGAAAATTCGGAATTAGAATCGATACGCGTTATAATGGTATGGGGATTCCGTATTGTGGCCGTAAGGAATCTTCAATCGGATTCGACAGCTTTACGCCAGGTGCTTGCTTACAAATTTTTACAATGCTTGGAGATTTCGAAATTTTGTGCATACCGTTCTATTTTCGCAATTCTTCAATATTTTCAAGCTTTGCTTATGCGACTGTCTATTGAACCATTAAGACTTTATGCAATAAAGGGACATTTAGCGATGGGGGCTTAATTACTCTTAAATAAATCAACAACTTCTTATTCCATCCAACGTTTCGCTGAATATATTGTCATCCTCTTCAGAGAATAAAAATCACATGTCATTTGAACCTATCAGTGAAAAAACCATATTGTAAAATGTGTTCAACATTACAATAAAATTTGTACAATATATTCAGCAAAATGTTGGATGGAATAAAAAGTTGTTGATTTATTTGAAGGTAGACTAAATTTCCCTTTATTGCATAAACATGATGAAAGGTAGTAAAGATAACAATGTTATTGTAACTTTGTTTCAAACGTTTCCACGGACTGAGTAGTCCTTCACAATGAATCGATTTCTATTTAAATATAGAACTTGAAAGATAATTCTTTTTTAGCGCGCGGTTTTCGGAATTATATTTAGAAAAGCATGATTAAAAATACGATAATCTTAATGGCAGGAAATCTAAAATAAAACTATGTTGTTTCTGTATTCTTTTGCAACGGAACATCTCTCTATTTTTTTGTGACCAGAAATAGATGTTCTAAAAAGTATGTTGTCGACACACATCTGTTCGTAACAATTTTCATATTCCTCTGGCGAAAAAAAATAAAAGCTACATTAAGTAACTCGTCACGGAAACACTATTTAATCACAGGTTCATCGTGGAAAAGCAATCTGCATTATCGAATCACACCGCAAGCCGCGTGATCGGCAGCAATTATTTAAACAAACAGCGAGAAACAGCAGGAGCGACAGTATTGCATAGACCGGCGAATATGTGTGTAAAGCGCGTCGCGCGAGAAAGCAAAAGAGTGGGAATCAGCGCGTGCGCGAGCCCCCGAAAAAGCGGCAGGCGGTAGTCGCCGCGGCGCAGTCGGCAAAGCCAGCGCTCTACTCCCTCTGCTCTTCAGAGTGAACGCGGAAGCCGCGTTGAGCGCTTATTCCGCGTGTGACGCAGAGAGTACGCAGTGGTAAATACCTGTCGTACAGTGCTGTGGTTTAGTGTATGCGAGTGCTCGTCACGTGTGGAAAGAGCAAGAGAGAGAGAGAGAGAGAATACATAGTCCTCTTTTATTGAAAGATCGATCGAGCTTCTCTCTCTATCTCTCGAGTATATAGTATAGAGGTCAGGGAATCGTCGACCTCGCAATTATCTTGTGCTTTTGCAATGCGTGTTATTAACAGTGAATAACCGAAGACGACGCTAAACAGAAACAGGCGGGTTGGCTTACCGTGTTGCTGATCTCTGCGCCTCGCTGGATTGTTTTGGGGTAAGCTCAAGTGTGAGATACTATATGCGTGGACGATCCCATGCGCTTGAAAAAAGACTCCTTGCATTCTACTTATTCACCGTGTTTTTTGTCCGCCGAGTGTCTTTTGATCGAGATCAAGTCGAGATGAGGGTGGGGTATAAACTTACTCACAAGGAGAAACACGGTGGTGATAAATTTTAGGTGACACCACCCGCGGCAGCAAACACTTGAGAGTCTTGAGCGTTTCCCGATAATGCGATATAGAGTTTAAGCGTGTACGAGACTATTACGCTGCCTGCACACGTGTGCGCCATGACTTTTTTTCACCTACATCAAAGTAGAGATTAAACATGCACATGCTAGTTTCAGAAGAGAAAGGTGCTGGCGTGCCTGTGCGTTCTTAGTAATTCGTGCTGATGTTTGGCTAGGCATATTATTGTTTACAAGGCTATAACCTGTGTTCTAATGAACTTTTAGATGTAAAAAACGCGTAAAAAGGTTTAGTATAATACGACGAGTCCAGCAGCTTTCTTTTTCATATGTGCATAAACGTTCATCAAAAGAAGATAAATTAAACAGCAAAGCTTGTTTTTAAGAAATTCAATCGTGTAAAGGTCTATAACCTTTTTTCCGCATTGGTTTCGCATACTGGCTATGTAGCAAACGACTCGTCTTGAAATGAATGCGTTGCTTTTGTGAAATTGAAAAAACTGACATTGATAAGAAGCCAAAATATGAAGTATAAAGCATGCTATTATGCCGCATTAATTCATTACTCATTGATTTCCTCTCAATGTTTACATTATTTCCACTCAATTTACGTGATTTCATTTTCGATTGCAATGTTTATTCAAGTGCGTGTGTTTGTATGAAAAAGCGCCGGGCAAAAAGCTGTTAACTTCAATGTGGGAGCTTAAAAGTTGCGAACGCGCACGTTTTATTTTATTTTTTTCAGGGCGTGCAATTCGCTTCGCACGTATATAGCCTTTAATATGTTTTTCGGGGCACTGCAGTATATTTCGCGCGAGTCGTATTTATCTTTTTACGCAATGGCTGATTATGACTGTTGGTGCCGTTATTGCGTTTTGACAAATGTGCATTTCATAATAGAATGAAAAAAGGTGAACGCTCAAATTGTCGTTGGACGCTGGCACATCCTACTCGTTGTATATTCGGAAACGAGAAGCATCGAAAAACCATCCATCCAGCCAGCGCTTCGAAAAAAAGAGCCTGGCAATTCATCATAGTCTCGCGGGCAAGGGTAATTAAGATCGATCGCCGAGATTGGCCGTTAGAAGAAAAAAAAAAACGAGGTGGGTGGCCGAGCGAGTGACGAGAAAGCCGTGCACTGGTGTAATGCGAGCAGCTGACTGATTGTTTCTTTAGTCGCAAGCGGTCGAAAAGTCGCGCCATTGATAGACGTTCGAAGAACTTGGACGGACGTGGCGCGTTATCGACGCGTGGGAAAAGCCAAGGAAAGGCGACGCGTACCGCTTTGGTGCGCGCCAGCTGCGGCGTCGCGCTCTCGCGGAAATGTCTGTGCGAGAGCGAGCTGTTCGGAGATGCGCGAGAGATAAGGAGCGACGCGACGCGCTGGCGTGTTTTGAGAGGAGTTTCGAACGCCTGCGCCTCCCGGTCTGATGGGTTTTTGACGGCAACTTTGATATCAGCGCGGTGCCTCAACGACACTGCGTTTGTTGTTTCGCGCGAACGGTTCTTCTCGTGTCGCTGCCTCCGGCGAGAGACGGCGAAGCTCGCTCCGGAGAAACGCACTTTACACATTACAAACCAATCATCCCGTCGATGTATGAGTAATCAACGCTCGGTCATTCGCAGCCGCTTGCCGTGAGCTAATCCTCCACGGTAAATTCAGCCAGCTACACTCTCGGCGCCTATAATCGGCTTTCCATAGCTCACGTTATTTGCAACTGATTGTCGACGTGGCCGGGCAAATGCGAAGGTTCCGCGTGTCATGGAAACACTTTCTATCTGGGCATTAGCCGAGAAGGTCCGTATCGTACGAAAGCCCATTCGTATGCGTCAATTGTACTGATTAATGGAAGTGTACAGGAAGAGTGGCTTCTGCTGGATCGACGCTCCCAGTCGAAACGTCCACGGATAGCATTTGCCAGAGGTATACGAGCAAGTCAGCCCGTGAAAATGTTTTTGGCGTCTCGCGCGGGTCCATTGATCCGTATTGCCATTGTGGCGCTCACGTCTCCGCCGTCGATCATATCTTAGCGTTTCTCTTTTCCTATACGTGGGAGCAGACACGCTGCTGTTCGGAATAAATATTTATGCGATTTATCTCGCTCTTTCGGCTTTTGTGCCGTCGCGTACGAGGACAAAAAAAAAATGTTTTTTTTCAATGGCTTGTTGGGGCTGACAGCGGATTACGAAACGGAAGCGGCTTTGCGAGATCTCTTGTTGTGACGGACTACGAGTGCACTGATTTACGTAAATTACGCGCCGGGCTTTGACGAGCATACGCTTGACTCATGCGTTGCACGAGGCAAGGCTAGCTCGAATGATGTATCGTGAAAGTTTATCGATCCATCTGGCTTTCGTCAAACTAAAAATAAAAGAGCTGACGGCCTCGTCCGGCGACAGAAGCAGAGATTTCCGACGGGAAGGGCCTTTCTTCGAAGCTACGTACGTTCGTCAGGCAACGATCCTTTATGCCTGTGCCTTGCCCCCGAACGCTAGTGATCGCGGCCGCGCGCGTCCTTTGTCTCGCCGGTGGGGAACACCAAGCGTTAATCAATTGCCATCTTCCACCCGCGCATTCGTTTCCGTCGCGCGCGAAAAACTGCTTTCGCCGCGATAAATTTATCCCGCTTTGCGTAGTAGCGGCGTCATCTAAAAATAGGCGCGCCCCCCCGCGCGCGCGCGCGCGCGCTAGTTTAATTCAACTAACGAGATTGAAGTTCAGTGACCAGTCGGCGATGCATCGATGGCATCGTCTTTCTCCGCGAGATTAATCGACCGCGGCCTTGCGGCTCGAACGTTTCAGGCGCGCGCCAAGTCGAGTTATCGATCCGCTCGCGCCCCGCCGCCTCGTAAAAACGCACGAGAGCGACTTGCGCAAGCCTTCTAATTTTCTTTGGGCGAGCGCTGGAACGTGGCGCTTGATGGACGTGGAAACGCGGGGAAGCGCGAAGCCCGCGATGGGCCTCCCGCTCTCGTCCACTTTCACGGCAGTCCGACTGCCGTTATCGTTCTTTCGTCTTCTCTTTTTTTGGAATTGCGCAATTTCTAGCTATCGCGCGCGATCGTCTATCGCCGACGTTGTACAAAGGAGCTATGCCACTTTATAAACGGATTTTAATAGAGCCCAGCGAGTGGAAGTAATTGCTTTATTTTCCAATTAATTTTAATGAAGGTATACGTAGCCGGCACAATGTACCCGCGCACAATGGACTATCACAGCGAGCTGCATCGAGCGAGCTAACGTCTCGAGCGCAGCGAAATCGTCCAAACCGATGGCGCGCCCGAGAATTTCCTTTGTCGCGAGGCGAGAGCAATTTTTTTTCGCCATCACGGATCGGCTGATCGCGGCGGAACTTCAAAGTTTTTCTCATCGGGGATTTCTAAAAAAAGAAGCGCACGCGCGCGGAGAGAGCTAACCAGTCGAGGGATGATAACGAGGTTAGGTGTTGGCGTCGAGCGCGTCGCAGTCATTGCACTTTGCATCTGTTGTTTGGCCGCGCGCGTGATTTAATTAAGAGTTGCGTCGGAGAGGCGGGCAGAGCAAAAAAACAGCCCAGCCATTTCAAAGAGAGGGAAAGCCGATTGAGCGCGCGGATTTGTTTTCGCTCGCGGCCGAACGTTGGAAATGCGTTTGCTCGGCGTGCTAATCGACGATATGATTACCCAGCTCTGAAAGTTAACGCATCAGTGGCGTGGGCTCCGTCGTATTTTTCTCGCGCGAAAGGAGCGTGCACAAAGGGGTCGCTGCGTTGCTGCAGCAGTGGCAGAGCGGCGAGTACAAATCACGCGAGAATTTTTCCCGAAAAGCCTTTGCGAGAGGCCCGAAATTGGCTTCCTCGAAGCGCCGTCCTCCTGCGCGAGAGGCATCGACGGATCGCGCGCTCGCCTACGAAACAGAAAACAAACCCGGCCCACGTTCGGAAGTAATAACTGGAGTGGAAAGCTTGCCAACCGCGCGGGCCGCTCGATATTTTTTATTTCAAAGCCGAACTTACGCGTTGCCGTATAGTTCCGCGCCCCACGCACTCGGCGTCGTAAAGTCACTCGCGCTCTGTGCTTTTCTTGGTATGCAGTTAATTGCCTTTCGCGAGAGCAGGGGGAGGGAGCGCAAGGTCGGGCGGCTTTCTGGAAATGAAATTCTATTTGTATATTTGAAGCCGAGTGCGTGCTAACTTTCCGTCTTTGGGGCTTGGCCTTTTCATTCGTATTTAGTTTTGCTTCGTTCGATGGGGGACAATTCGAGCTTTTTACAGAGACGACGCGGCGATCGTTCATGATGCCGAAGACAGTTCCTGCGGGTCAGTTTTTGTTAATCACACATCCGTGAGTATGCGGCAAGCGAAAAATTGGAGTTTCCTTCAGGCGATAATGGTTGTCTAAGAAAAGAGGACAAAAAAAAAATATGCGGCTTAACCCACATGCGTTGTTTTTCAAGTCTCCTTTGTTGCTGCGAGTGACGTGTACTTGGAAGCGACGACTCGCCTAGGAAATTGAACCCCGCCACGGTTCGGAGGAATAACGTGCAGAAATTACTCGCTGTAAATATCACGCTACGCGATATTACCGAGCAATTTCAGTAATGATCCTAAATCTCGTTCGTGCGATTGAGTTGCACTAAGCTAACGGCGCGTAGTGGGTCAAGGCGCGCGTAATTTTTTTAAAACTCGCTCGCGCATTGTCTCTTGGCAAACAAAAGCCAATTTTGCAAAAAAAAAACTCGTTTTTCTCTCTTCGTTTCCTCTCCGTCTTATTGTTGTCGTATGGAAACCCGGCAGAGCTTGAAAAAAAAAAAAAAAAATGATCGCGGC